CTTTCCCTAAGCTCTCATTCCCACATACACTGGCATTGGCTAGAATGGGGACTGTTGCAAGGTTGTGCTAATTGCACTCAAGAGATATCGTGAAATGCATCACCCTATGGGTAGCTCTTGGCACTTAGGATTTCTAGTTTCCAACTACAACTCAGTTCACTACACTATTCTGTTTCCTGGGAAAAATTGTAGGACCTAATCCCAAAAATATTAAAAAGTGTGCAGTCAAGTCAATGGTCCCAACTGTACACCTGATTTTCATGCATGATTGATATGCGCTTGCATATAATGGTTCTGTACAGTCCTGAACATGCAAATTAGGTGTACAATTTGTGCTCTTGTAGCTTTGGAATTAAAGTAATAAATGCACTAAACATTGACCAAGACAGTCCTCTTAATATATTGATTACATGCCATTCATTTGGAGTAACATGCAAAATTAAAATAGGGCTTAATCCCTTTTTTATGGATCTTATTCCCAGTTGTACTTTCTTTGGGATGGTGTTGGTCCGCTACTACAAGAATCCTGTGATTGAACTGTCTCTCTTCAGTGATGCAGAAAGCACTGTCCCCTCATACCTGGTAGTAAACAGGGGCCTTCCAAAAAGCCAAGACTTTGAAAGTTACACAAACCTGCATATCTTAAATTAAAATTCAAATTTTAAAAAGGGAACTACTGGAAAGACGATAACCTAAAATCAGCAGCAACAGCATGGAAAACAGTTCATCTTGTTACCAGTTTTAAGAGCCAGATGTTAAGAAACAGATGCAGAGAATAATTTAGTCCTAAACTGAAAGTAAAACATAACCCATAAATTCTTACTCTCATGTAGTTTAGGTTGGGTTTTTTTTCATCATTTAGATCACCTTTCTGAGCCAAACACATGCAAACTCTAAACAAGCTGACTTTCTGGGTAGGTAGAATTGTTACAATTACGTTACTGTTATATTACAGACATGAAGGGAAAGGCTAAAGAGCGTGACAGTCTGGAATCACAGTGCTTGGATAAAGAGCACAGTGTTGGGCGAACATAATGTAGTAGCAACAAAACATTTTGAAAAGAAGGTCATGGATTCAAAACCAAGAATTCAGCCTGTATACAAAAGCTTGTATACATGCGATGATTCTTAGAAGCTGTAATTTTAATAAACTAGAAATGCTTTGAAACAAGAGAAGTAATTTGGAAAAAAAGCAGGCTAAATCTAAAGAACTTTGATCTCTTACATCTTGTAGCACTGGAAATACTATGCAGTACTGCAGAGATACAATACACTAATGGATTTATAAAATAAGTTTTGGCACACACAGACCTGTTGGCTTTACTCAGACATAGCACAGAAGCACAACAGGAAGAAAACACGGCATACTGATAGTATTGAGACACTTGGGCAAAAGCAAAATACTGAAAGACTAGACACTGAGCTCCTTTTCTGTGGAAATGCTGCTGTTGCACACTGGGCATCCAGTACCATACCCTGTGTGAATAGCTGTGACCTCTGACAGATGAGCTGCAGGATCTCTTAGTCATCAGTGGGCTACGAGGAGGTTTACCCATAACAAATACCTCTCTCTTTAAATTAGCCTAGAAAAACCACAAAAACTGTGTCAAGTGAGAGTTTAAGAATGAAGCATCATGGGATTTTTGTTGCTTCATTCATACATGCAAACTGGACATGCTTTTCTTGATAACAAAAAGCAAGTGTGTTACAGGTGCAAATAATGGTACTGTTAGTATATGGTATTTTCACTGTTGCCACTGTATCTTTTTTTCCCAGGGTTTGCTGCTCTGGCAACATGCCCTTACACATTACAGTTAAAAGATTAATCACACACAGTGTATGCAGTTGGAACAAGAACAGTTATTGCAAGTCTACCCACTGAAGTAGCTCAGTTAATAATCCAGAAAAGCTCAACAGCACAGAGCATAAATACTATCTTAGAAATACCAATGACAAATGTTGTAATTCCTTGCTGTTAAACAGAACATGCAAATTCTAAATTTGCATTTAGAAAGCAAGTAAATATTTGATGGAAAGCACTTCAAGGAAAAATCCTTGTTTTGTTAACATCACTATAAATCAACTAAATATTTGTCAGATTTCAGCTCCTACGGGTGTGTGTGCAGCAAATGTGAATTCTCAGGGGCAGGGGTGAGTTGGGGGAAATGTGAGAGGCGTGGAGTGCTGACATTGGAAACCTTTTCATTGCTATTTGTGACTGTTTGCCAGTAGAATGTAGCAAGACAGAAGAGCAGCCCTCTCTTAGAAGCTGAGAGGGTGAATAAGAAAAAACAAAAAGGATACCAAGGGAGGCCAAGGAGGCAGGAAAACAGCTGCGTTTCTCCTCGGGGAAGTGTCTTCGGAGTTCTTCCTTTGGAGGACACATCCCTCCCACCAACATGGAGCAAAGTGACACTTCCCACCCATAGCTCCTTGTAGTCTACTGCCCAAATCCCGGGTCATGCTTTAGATTTGAGCCGCATTCCAAATATATATACACACATATGTATGTATGTATTTTTACATTAACAAAAATTACCAAGGTATCAGTATACGGTTTCAAGAAGTCCCTGAAGAACCTCCCTTCACTTGTGATGTTTGAGTCCTGGAAATGTATCATGTTCTTTCTGCTGTAGCAGTTGAGAGGAGACTTTAATCATGGACAACTGCACAAACAGAAGAGGATAGGAACTGTCCTTCCTTCTAAAGTCCAGCCTGTAGACTAAGTAGCAAGAAATGATGACAGCCAAACCTGGCTACGCTTATTTTAATGCAACTCTCTATCCTGGCAATGTAGTCAGTGTTGACTGCTGAAAAAAGTTTTCTTACCCTTGGGAGGAAATAAATTTTTATCTCATTTTGGAAATATTGTGTAAAAAATTCTGTTGTCAGTAGGAGTATATCTAATAACTTCAACAATTTTCAAATAGATAAGTCTATACTGGTTAAGTTTATAAAGGAATGTGTTCCATAGACTTAAAAAATAATCCAGATTTGAAATGGTTTGAAAACACTAATTAAGAGCTAGAACTCTGTAACAACGCCCCCAGGCCCCTAATTCTTCTCAGTACTCAGGCTCTTGTGTCTGCAAGATGGAGTCATCTCCCTTGGTTACTTAGTGTAACCTAATTGCTTCCTGCCATGCCCAATGAAGAGCAGTACACTGCCTGGGAGGTTCCCAGGAGCAGATCTTTTACCTCTCAAAACAGATGTTCCCTCTATTTTCAGCTGGGATTAACATGCCTTGCTCAAACAAGAGCCAGGAATATCAGGGTCACCTAAAGAAAATTTCAGTGTAGATGAGGAATTTTCTGAATTTTGTCAGTTAGGCTAAGCAAAAAGTACCCATCAAAAGCACTGCACAACTGATAAATTATTCCAAGTTGCAGAAATAAATGCAATACTGTGTTTTGCCCCATCTTTGAGGTGAAACATACCTAAGCCCGTGACAGATTCATGCACTGGAAAGAACCTTTTATGTCTCTTCCCTACTTCAGAAAAAAACCCAGCAGATCTGGTGGACCTTAAGACTTCTTGAAGTCCATTATGTCTGGGTTTTCCATGAACACACACTGTAAGATGTGGTAGATTTTTATTAAAAATGTGGGGTTTTTTTTGCGATAGATGTAATGATCACTTTTTCTAGGATAGTTTCTCAAACTTTGTATGTGACTTTTTCTCCTTTCCATGAGCAAATGGACTCTCAGCTGGAAGTCAGCCCTGGAAATTGACTTTGGGTCTAAACTGCACTGGCGATTGTCTTTGTCTATCTAGAGCAATAGGCTTTCCAGATTTCATTTTTCTGCCACAGAGCTGCAATGCTGACACAAAGTGTAGTCTTGAAGAGGGAATAATCTTTGTCCAGTCCTTGACTAACAGAACTGGTGTTTAGAACATGACCCTCTGCAGTGGTGCTTTATTGTGAAATTTATGACTGTTCTCCCAGGCTTTGGATTGAAATGGAAAACACTTTTAAACTACAGACGTTACTTAGTTTCTGTGTACTTGAACATGAGTCTGTTGCTATTTCATTGTATCATAATGGTTATAGTTATACCTTGTGTTTCATTTGAAGAAGGCCTATCTCAATACTCCATGTGCTATGTTATTTAATATTAGTAAAGGAAACAATACATCTGAAAAGATCAAACTCAGTGTTAGCCTTGCAGTTATTTAATATACATGAAGATTTGCAACAATCCATACTCAAGAGGTGCAGTTACCTTTAACTTTGGTGAGTCTCTCTCCTGCTGATGTAAGGGTTTAGAAAGGAGAGGAGGTGAGAGGGAAGCAGTAGACGGGGATGTTGTAGGAACAGAGTGAGAAGTTGGTGCCTTGTCAGAGTGAAATGGAAGATTAGAAGAAAGGTGGAAAGGAGGATCAGAGTTTTGTGACATTCCCATAGAAAGTAGAGCTGGCTTAAGTGTTTAAGAAAAATGACAAGTAATTGTGCTATAAAACCAGCTGTGAAGGACATAACATGCTCAATAAGGAGTCACGTAACTAACCTGAACAGTCAGAAATGGGATGCTAATTTTATTATTAGTCAGTCTACTATTCTGGAAGAAAATTCTTCCCTCAGAAATCAAAACAAGTTGCTATTTGTGGCAGTGGATTTCACCTCTATTCTTACGGCTTTCTCCTGTGTTTTTCAGGTCAAGTAAGGGCAGAAGCAGCCTGCAAAAACTAACTGGTTTTACATTTGGCCTAAAACATATTGTCCTAAGTATCTAATTTACATGTTTGCATGTGCTAGCCAAAGCAGCTGCCTGAACAGTCTGTTAAAATAAGTGCTGGACAGAAAAGATCTGTTCTAAAACTTTGCCTAGGAACCACACAAACTGTGTAGCAATATTGCAGCATTTAATGGCTAGCAGACATTGGGGATAGTTTGGTGTTGTACTGTCCCAAAGAGGAACTGGGGAGGGCTTTAGGGGAAGCATTTGTTTAACTGCCAAACATAATCTGATCTGTTGTTATTAGTCACATTCTCATAACAGAGTCTACTATAAATATATCAGCTGGTGAAGTGACACGTGTGAAGTACAAACCGCTGAGTCTCTGCAGGAGGCATGTCCCTCCCTCTGAAGGCTGCTGGTAGCATTTGCTTGCTGGGGCCACTGGCTCAAAAGGGGTGGCATGTAATGGGCCAGTGAGGAAAATGGCTCGCTGGCTTTTCACATCAGAAGCTCGGTGGCAGCTAACAAGGACAGAAGGGAAAGGGCCAGCAGAATTGATACACCGTAGAGCTTACAATGGCGTATATGCCTGCTTCTGAGAAGGGACTATCCCCTAACACTGACAATTTTTATCCAACGCAATAGTATAAAACTGTGCCTGTGCACAATACAAACATGTAAATACAAGAAAAGGCAGAGAATAATTATACTGAGTAAGCTATCTGAACACAAAAGCCAGGTTTTTCAGAAATTAAAATACCTTATCAATATTCAGTGAAGTGTATCCTTCATAACATACCATGGAGTCTCCTCCACTTGCTATGGGGAATTCTAAATTGTCATGTCCCAGATCCTCCTCTATATAGAGTCTTGTCAGTTCTTCTGTTGCGTCTTGTGCTGCTCTGTAGAAATCTGATTCTTGAGGCTTTGACTGATCCCCTATATTAACTGACAGCTCTGCAGTACAGATTTCCTCTTCATTTTCAGCAGTTGCAGCTAGCACTCTGGAGACGGAGCCACCTTCATGTGGCAAAGGGACGTTACAGATAGCGCCAACATGTTCACCTTCTCTTGTAGTATCTGACAAGTCTCTAGGTACTTCGGTAACTGAAGAGTCAAGTATACCTCTCAAGTCTTTACCTTTTCCTGGCTTGGTATTGTTGCTGGTATGCTTATATGCTATGTCATGAGATGAGCTGGCTGAAGACGAGACAGAGGTAAATACAAGAAAGGGCAGAGGAAGAGCTGTAGGAGGGCTGAGAGAGACCTCTGTATTTGGAGTAAAGTGATCATCTTTAACTCGGTGAATGCTATTACCTGGGGAGATCGCTACAGATTGGGATGTTGTTAATGCCAAAGAATTGAGTTCTTCTAAACCACAAAGAAAACTGTCTGGAAATGGTGGAGGTGGTAAGATGCACACGCTTGAAGGTGAAAAACCAACAGTCCTTGAAAACCAGTCACTAGTGGCAGCCTGGAGAATCTTTTGATCAATGTGTGACCAAGAGGAGGAAATGTGTCTGGGAAGTGGGGACAGTGCTTGGGAAGGCCACTTCAAAAATAAGAGAAACATAGGAATTTAAATAAATAAATAAGCATGATAGAGAACTAGGATATGAGTAGACTGGAAAGAAAAATGTCTGTGCCATCATCTGGGTTATAGGGTATCATTTCAGTGAGCACGGGTGTCTGAAATCATTACTACAGGAATCAACAGCAGGAAAGACATTTGAAAAATGAAACTGTATCAGGTTCTGGCTTGGGGCTTAAATGTCAAACACTAAGACAGATCTGAATCACTACATTCATGAAGGCGACCTGCACTTGGTCTGCTAAAGTTATGTTACTTATGGCGCTCTGTTAGTGAGCGTGTCACAGGTTTTTAAATCATACAATTAACTTTAATGTAATTTTTCTTGAACCATTACTGTTATTTTGAGAATAGTATTTTCAGAAGTACACTTCAGGTGTCATTAAGTATTTCTTTTAAACTATAACAACTGAGGTGATTTCTAATTATCCTAATGTTAATACTTCTACTTTTTCTTAGTACTTCTGAATAAATGCTTAAGAAACATCTTTAACACATTGCATACTTTTATTAAGGCATGAGCAGCTACAGAATGCATTTTTCTTCAAAAGTAACCCTATTAGTTCAAAATTACATCAACATTTGTGAAAGGTACTTTCAATTCTAATTGAATGTAGGCAGTCAACAATGCTTTTAAAATAGTGACAGCACAGTACACAGCAGTATATTTTGAGTACCGTTACATAATATTGATTGAAGTATCCTTCTGGTAAAAGAAATGTCCTTTTGTAAGAATGAGAGACTGGTGAATCATACGTACACAGCATCAGTAGATATCCATTGCTTCAGTAAATACTGAAAATGCATTTTTGTTACTATTCATCCTCAAAATTAAAATTGGATGAAAAATAGTTTGATCTCATTGTTAGAATTATCCAGAATAATTAGCTGTACATCTCTAAGTTATCTGGACTACTTTAGACTTTAGACTTTAAGTATTACTCTAGAATAGGAAAATAATTTCAAAAGGTGTCATGGTTTAACAACTAAAACATCAGTGTGTTATCACATTATTCTCATGCTAAATCCAAAACACAGCACTATACCAGCTACTAAGAAGAAAATTAACTCTATTCCAGCCGAAACCAGGACAAAAGGTTAAATTAATGTTGCAGAATAGTTAATTTACTTACCTTCTGATTGAGTTTTCTTGAGGCAAATAGCTTTACTTTATAGTTAGACAAACCTTTGTTATAGAGTCTTCTGTACCAAAGTAAACAGTCTGTAGACTGATACAATGCAGTCTGCTAAAACAGAGCTAGGCTGTTACA